CCTCCTTGCTTCAGACATTCAAGTTGAAGCAGAGGAATTGGTCTAATCAGATTCTGTAGAACTTTAATGGTAAAATCCTGACGAGTAGCACCGTGCCTAACTTTTCCGTGTGTAAAAATATTCTTCTGCATGGAGAGGAGAGAAAGGTATGATGTAGACATAGCTCTACTTTATGTAAGATAAAAATAATGGGGTTTGAATAAATTATGGAACCTGATAAACATATTTCAAGAGTACATCCCTAACTAACTCTAAAAAAATGTTAACTGTGAGCATATTATGCTCTTTGGATGGAATACTGTTTAGAATGCTCAGGCACTTTGAAATAGAAGTGAATTTTCTAATTCTTTCTGAGGAGAAAATTGATATCCTCCTCAACTTCTTAAGAAATCCAGGGCAAATCCATGTATAAATGTTAAATCACAATTTATATATGTCTTAGGTTCTTTAATAACATAAGTAAGCAAGAGTAGCCTCGATGCTCCCATCTCAGCATGGCAGTCACCAGCAAATGTTCTCTATTTTTCTAGTTCAAGATTTTAAAGAATAATTAGTATGATTTACCAATATTCTAATTTGATCGTGCAACAACATATTAGCATTTACTTTTCTGTAACTTAATTTGCATTTGAATAAATCCTGATTGTTTTGCAATAATGTGGAAAAACTTGTTTATTCAAGGTTAATTTAACATATTAAGGGACCATCAAATGTGACAAGCCTTCTCTTCACTACATATTAAATTCTTAGTAAATTTGATTTTGTAAAGTAGTGTAAAATATTGTAATATTAATCCTTGTTTTCTGAACTCAGACATTGATCTTTAGTGTGCAATTGTAAACCTTGCTCTTCTGACTTGAAGGCAAGGTTTTGTTCCCCTTTTTACAGTTTGTAATTTTCACTGTTTTATTCCTGTAAAAAGTCATTTGTAACACATGCAAATGCTTATTTTAGCTGTGCTAATTTATCAAATTTGGCTACTCAATAAAATTAATTGAAAGAGCTTGCATAGAATTTTATCAATGTTTTTATAAACAAAATGGAACATGCAGAGACTATCTGACCATTTAATGAATAAAATGATATTCAGTACATAAAGAGATACTTCTATGAATGATTAGACCTGGGGATTAATGCTGTTTAAATGCAGTGCAAATTGTGGATTGAAATACAAACAGTTTAATGTATTTTTACCAGAAGCAAGTAAGATTCATTCTTCTGATGTGGTAACCTTCACATTCAGCAAATAGTTTAAATAAATATGCAGAATTACAATGTAAAGAATTGCTGGATCATTGACTAAAACATGGTCTGACTATTAATTAGAATGCTTCTCTGAGAATTGCAACTAATCAACTTAAATAAGCTAGTTAATGTATTTTTTAAATTTCAATAATCACATTAGGCTCTTTTATGAGGGATGCGCAATATTAGAAAATATATCTTAATCTGTCCACAATTCTAACCAGTACATCTGTGTACATAAAAACTTTGGAAGGTGAATTAAAAACTTCAGTATTTATTTGGAATAGTACAGTATCTTGTTAAATTAGCTCAATTTTTCATGAAAGATTAACATTTTTGGAAGTATTTTATTATTTTTTCAAAGGTAGCTCAGCCAGCTTTTTCTGACTGCATATAATAGCTTATTCATTACAATTACTTAAATCATCTTGTCCTGTATCCAGGAAACACATTTAGTTATAAGCAAAATATTAAAGCTACTGTCAATCAAGTCTTAGCACTGAAAGCATTTGGGTAACTTTAACTTGGTTGAGAGGCTTGACTCTGATGAGAACTGGACAGGGAACTTTAAGGGAAAACAAGGGCTTAAAGGGAAGTTATCTCACAAAATAGCAAACCACTTCTTTGTTATCAACACATATCTATAAAATCATGAATTCAGTTTGGCTTGGAGGATTTTTATCAGTTATATGTAGTATATTATTTATCTTCACTGTTTAATGTGGAAACTGGGAAAATTTAAAAAATGGAAAGTAATAAAAACTACATTTGAATGACATGTAAAATGGATCATTAATTTTGCCCTTATCCTATATTTTTGGACCATAATCACTAATGTATTACACCAGTCAAACAATTCACAACCCTTGGCTAAAAATATAATTGTGTAAGATCTTTAAAACCAAATCATTAAAGAAAATAATTAAAATTAGAAGACACAGAATTGTTCCTACTGGTATTCCAGTTGATACCTCAAAATCTAAAGAACAAAATTTTAATAAGCATTTTCTGAGTACAATTTTCAAGTCAGCTATTTTCATGCCATGGAGCCCACTTTAAATTAGCTTGCTATTCATAATGTGGGAGTCTTTATCAAAAACTTCCTTTAACTCAAAGTATATTTTCTCAACAGCACTTTAATAATCTATTAAGGAAGTTGTTAGACTGGAATTAATTAGCTTATTAGAGCAGAATTTGTTTTTATCAAATCCATGCTAGCATCTGGCAATTACCACAGTAGCTTTTTATTATCTACTCTAGAATCTCAGCATTGGAATAGTCCACAATATGCTGATTTTTTTTAAAAGATAAGCAATATTTATTCTGTAGCCATCTGGCACTTTAATAATTTCCAGAATTTCCAACAGAATAAGCCAGCTTTCTGAAAAGAAGGTATAGGCAAAAATTAGATACATCTACCTCAGTGGTATCAAACTCATGGTGTCATGGCTGCATCATGTGACCTATCACAACTTTTTTCTCCTTCACTAAACCAGGTGTGGGCATGGCCAGTGTGAGGCATCCGGCCTGTGGGCCATGAGTTTGACAGCCCTGACCTAGATTGTAGTTAGTTCGTTCAATAACCTTGGATGCAAACATCTTTTTTTTTAATATACAATAAATCCATTTCATTTCAGCCATGTGTCGATTAGGTACATGTTTTATGTGCTTACAGTTTATGGTTAATATCCTTATCAATAAAATAACAATCACATTTTCATATAATATCCAATATATCTATTTTTAACAATCTTATTTTTTATATATTCATCTAATCCATTTCAATTTATTTTGTTTTCTAACCATTGATAAATAAATCCCATACCATGTAATATTCAGATTCTTCTTTCCCTTTAATTTCCAATGTTAATCTATTCATTTCTGCACATTCGGATGCAAACATCCTCTTTCTGTTGAACTCAAACTTCAATTTTGCCCATCAGTTTCTTGGTGAAACATTTTTTTTGTTGAGTCTGATACCAAGTTGAGTAGCTTTCTTTTCTATCTGTTAATATCTGAACTTCTTTTTTGAGCAGCTATTATAGTGAATGTTATTTTGAAAGCATCCAAAAAGCCCTTTTTGTTATACGTATCTTTTCCTCAGCTTATTCTGAAATGTTATTTTTTTAGTGTATTCTACTATTCTGAGTTACCTGACCTTTTTTGTGGAGTTTTTTTTAACAAGCCAAGATTTTGTCAAAAAAATGAAACATAAGATGTGATGCAGTTCTGCCCTTCCGTACGTTCATGCAATCATATTAATACCAAAGGAGCAATGATTAATGTTATGATACATCCAAATGCCCTTGATCCTAACATAGTTTACTTTTCAAATTTGTCTTTTTCTCTTCATTAGCCCCACTGACTTAATTGTCCTCCCTCTTTTTCTCTTTGAAATTGTTTGCCAAATTCTTTTAAAACCCTTTCCTCTAAGCCAGACCTCCAGAAATTAGAAATAATATGTAAATAAGGATAGGTCATGCACACAATATAATTGCATTGCTTTCATTTTGAAGGTGATTGCAATTTGTTTTTCAATTTATGTGTGCCTAGGCACCTACACATTCCCAGTTTCTCATGTAGCCCATTGGGAAAATTAATTTCACACCCCTGTTCTAGGCTTTGAGCTTTTCCCCATTAGCTTCTTCTGACACGGGGTAACACTTATTATTGAATTTATTAAAATCCTAGATAACATGCTTTGCTATGCTCAGCTTTATTTCCCCTTAAAATCAAACATTCCAACATTTTTCTCCCAACATTCCTGCTTCCACTTCCTCTTACTTTGTCTCACCATTCTTTATTTATTCCAAACCATGCCTTTATATTGGATCTTATTTGTAGCACTCAAAATTAATAATAAACCATTCCTAACCACTTTTATCCTAAAGTGTTACAAAACATTACATTTGTTGCATTTTTATTTAAATGACATTAGCTCTATAGTTTGCAAAACTTATAGCTCAGTAAAAACATAAAATTCAATTACACCAAATAAATCTAAACCATTTTAATAGAAAACAACTCTAGCACAAAATCACTAAAAAAAAAGCTCAATATAAAAGATGAAGAATAGAATAATTAAAATAAACATATGCAAGCCGAAGGCTAGGAAAACAAAATCCTTGCCTAAATACTGACAAGACCATAACTAACAGTTTATTAAATTCTGTATAGAGTTCTTTCATAATTGGGTCGCATTATCAAAAATCTTTAATATCTATCCATGGTGTCTTATTACATTAAAATAGGCCTTTAATATTTATCTCCAGGCCAAAGAATGAGATATATCTATCTAGATTCTAGAGAGATAAAAATCAGCTATACGGTATTTGGAAGATACCTTGTGGTTTGACTTTAGCTTAGCGGCAATATTGTCCGTTTTTTGCAAATATTTTTGAGATTAGAATGGAAAACAATTTTGGTATTTTCTTAATTATTTGGGGGATAAACCATTAACTTCCGCTATCAACTGGCTGCCAATGGAAATACGCGGAGCCCCGCCGGAAGCAGCCCGGAGCTGATCGTGACGGAACCGATTATGATTTTTTCCTAACCGATGAGATCATACTCAACTTCATCCCTTTTCACCCGCTTCACTCCCGAAGCCTTTGCCGCCATCTTTGCTAGGGTCGGCAGCTTCTGTTACAAGGGCTTTAAACTTGCCCCCGTCACCGCGCTGCCGATTTTGCTCTAACAGGAACACCCTCATCTAAGATGGCGTCGCTCGTTTCAGCGTCTGAAGGCGGTCCTCAAATGTCGTTAGTTGCGCTTGCGCGTTAAAGAGCGGCTGTCAGAGCTGGGGGCCTTGGTGATTTCCATTGTATTACTTGAGGAGAGAAAAGCCTCGAAGGTGGTCGCAGCTCTTTCGGCGAGCGGCGGGTCATGGAGCCGGATCCTATGGAAGGGGAAGGGTGTGATATCAGTCACCATGAAGGAACCGGCGGGTCTTCCCCACCGCTAAGCGGACTCACAGCCTCTCAGCGGCGGGCCGAAATTCGCCGCCGAAAGCTCCTGATGAATTCGGAGGAGCGGATCAATCGCATCATGGGTTTCCATCGGCCGAAGGCGGGTGAGGACGGGGCGTGGCCTGGGATCGGGGGGCCCCGGGCGACGAAAGCCCAGGAAGCCTCGGCCGGAGGGAAGCGGGGGGCCCTTGTCCTCCGTCTTCTCCAACCCTCCCGCCCGGTTCCTCGCCTCCTGCCCCGAGGTTAAAAATCTGGCCTTTTTTTTTTTTTTTTGCAGCAAAACTTTTGTTTCTAGCAACACTGGAAACGGCTGACTTAAGGTAGCGGCCAGCTATTTGGCGCTTCGAGCTTCTCAAATATAAAAGGTGTCGCCATTCTTGGATAATGGAAATTTAATGGAGTTGCTTTCTGATACGTTTTAAACCCATTATTTGTTTAAATGGAACCGTCACAGTCAAATGGTTATATTGTGTAGGTTGTTCGGGAACTGCATTCTCATTTTGGGAAGAAAGTCAAATTTGAATGGAAAACGCAATGTCTGTGAGTTCACCCAAACAAGAAAACCTTACGTTAATGAATAGCATTTTTTTAGCGTAATTGGAGGTATCTTAGTTGCTATGTTAAATTTGGGGAAGGAGTTGAGATTTGTAAGAGAATTATTACATTTTTAGCCTTGCCAGTAGCAATGGGTGGTACGGAAAAGGACACTGCCCTTGCAGCTGAAAATGCAAAGGATCTGCAAGCTCTAATAATCAAATAAGGTAGTCCCTGACTTAACCACAACTGAGGCTAAAATTTCCATTGCTAAGCAAGACATTCGTAAAGTGACTTTTGCCCCAATTTTATGACTTTTTTTTGCCATAGTCACTAAGTGAATCACTGCAGTTGTTAAATTAATCATGAGTTTTAAATGAATCTGGCTTCCTCCACTTGACTTTGTTGGGAGCCTGCTAGGAAGGTTACAGATGGTGAACAGATCTGTCCTTGGGACAGTGCAACTGCCATAAATACATGCCAGTTGCCAGGTGTCTGAATTTTGATTGACCATAGGGATGCTACAATGGTTGTACATGTGAAAACCAGTCATAAGTCACTTTTTAGTACCGTTGTAATTTCAAACAATCACTGAACGAATGGTTATAAGTGGAGGACTACTTGTACCCTAGTAGAAAAATGAGATTAAAATTAAATATAAAGAAGACCAAATGATATCAGATAGAGTAACCAGCCTTAGAAGATTATTGCAGTGATGGATAGTCTTTGCCTTTTGGGTCAATCATCAACAGTAAAGAAATCAGCAGCAAAGATGATCTTGGAAAATACGTTCATATACCATGATCTGTCTATTATCTATACAGTTCAAAATTATGTAAGCCAAGTAAGTATTCTCTGACAGAATAGATATCATTTTAAGATGACTTCATTGTGGGCTGCAGATGCATTAAAGGTGACCATGAGGTTTTCTAAGCATGCTTAGAGAATATCTTAATTAGTTAGTAGAATTCTATAGTTAGTAGAATATAGGAATGAGTGACTAGTCCAACTCTCTAGGCAGTACAATATATGATTACTGTTGATATTTTAAATATTTTTTTCAATGCACAAATAAGCCAATGTAAAACTGTTATTAAGAGATGATTATTACAGGGGGGATTTATTCATTTCTTTTGAGCAATCGAATGCTATGCACCACTGTATTTTTGCATACAATATTGCTTTATAATGACATTTAAGATGTACAAACAGATAATTTCTGTGGCTTTTCATTATTATTGATAATGGAACATTTACTCTAGGGCATATGATTCTTTGAGAAGCAAGAGAAAAATTGAGGGAGTTCTAAAAAATCCAACAATGTTTATGGGTGTATATCTGTGTTCTTTTATATTTCAACAGTTGTCATCATTTTCAGATTGGGATGCACTTCTAAAATTTACTGCATAAATATATTTGCTAATGTCTCTGAGAGCTATAGATAAATGGATTAGAAAAAGCTACATTATTAATGTCTAAAAGATTTATTACATGTGGCACAATTCCCTATTCTATGCAGAAAATATTGTTGTACATACAATAACACAGTCCTTCATTTACAACTATTCATTCAACAAATATTTGAAGTTATGATAATACTGAAAAAATATGACTGTTCTTACTTATGGCCATCGCAATTCCCTCAGTGATCAAAATTTGGGTACTTGATAATTGCCATATATTTATGCCTATTTCAGTGTCCCTGCATCACATGATCACCATTTTCCACCTTCAAATCAAGGACCTCGTGTACTTTCCTCTGCTGAATCTGTTGTGATTGTGGGGAATTTATAATATATTTATATTTTAAAGAAGTGCACATGGGAAAGAATGAATTTTAAATGTGGTTATGTGGAAGAGGACTGGTTAATTGAAGCCTCATATCATTTGTCGATATCCTATACTTTATTCTACGTCTCTTAAGAATTTGTTATCAACTTCAAATTTGTGGTATGATTTCAGTTTTTGTTCTGTTCTCTTTAGATGATGACACTCATTCAGAAACTAAGCTTCAATTGGAACAGGATAAACCAATTTCCCTTCCTGCTCCTGTTTCCAAACGGATTGTGCTTGGTGATACAGTCTGCAACTTATCAGGAACGGCTGACCACACAAGCAGTTTAGCAGAGCACAAAGGAGAGAAGATAGACTTATTTAGCAAAACTCATGAAGTTGGTAGCGATGGCAGCAGTGAGCTCCGGCAACGCAGTAGAGGGGAACTATTGGACGTTCCACAGAGAGCACCACGGCATGGATTAGATCAGTATTTATCAAGGTTTGATGAAGCGATGAAGCTTAGAAACCAGCTGATGAATGAGAAGCCAAGTCAAGAAAATGGAAGCGTTGTGGAGGAATTTGATTCCTTTCACATTTTTAGATTGGTGGGCTGTGCACTCCTTGCCATTGGTGTTAGAGCTTTTGTATGCAAATATTTGGTAAGTTTTTAAAAAAAATCTTAAAATTTATTTTCATTTTTCTCCCCTTTTTTGTCTTGGTTGCCTTGCTGACAGGTTTGTAAAGTAGTACATGTATGAGGTATTTATGCAAAACAATTATTTTCTCATGGCTAAATAGATTCAGGTCCAAATCCATAAAATCAGCTATTGTTTCTAGCAGTAATTATTAAGAACTGTGTGAAAGTCTGTTCTTCAGAGCATCTTTAATGTAAGTAAGTACTGGTAGTCCTCAATAACCACATTTGAGACTAACCACTCCATTGCTAAGTGATGCTGTAGTTCAGCAAAACATCAGATGATCATGGCAGATTTACACTGTCAATTCTACTATGGTTAAGCAAATCACTTGTGGTCCACAACTTGCAACTTACTGCTAGCTTCTCCACTGTCTTTATTTGTCGGAATCCTGCTGTGAAGTTCACCATTGTCAATTGTATGACCATGGGATGCTGTCGTTTTTATAAATGAACCACTTGTTGAAGTGCCTGATGGTGATGTAATTGTACTAGAAACAATGTCAGGGAATTAGAATTTATTACAGGTAGTCCTCGACTTACAACAGTTCATTTAGTGACCTTTTGAGGTTACAATGGCATTGAGAAAAGTGATTTATGACCATTTTTCACAAAGCAGCATCCCCATGGTCATGTGATTGATATTTGGATGCTTGACAACTGGTTCATATTTATGATGGTTTCAGTATCCTGAGATCATGTGATTATTATTTGTGAACTTCTCACAAGCAAAGTCAATGGGAAAGCTCGGTTCACTTAAGAAATGTGGCCAGAAAAGTAAAAAAATGGGGCAAAACTCACTTAATAAATTTTTCACCTAGCAACATAAATTCTGGGCTCCCTTCAAAGTAATCCTAACTAATGCATTTTAATATTATGCACTGGATGCTCAAAGATCTTTGGGTTGGAAATGATAGGCCTGGTTTAATTATCATTAATATATTAATATTTAACTTACCATAGATAACAATCCTCCACCCATCTCCATAGCTGTGACTAAATATGTTTAACACCTATGAGTTAGAATAGAATAAAGGAATAGAATAGAATTATTTATTGGCCAAGTGTGATTGGACACACAAAGAATTTGTCTTTGGTGCATATGCTCTCAGTGTACATAAAGGAAAAAATATTTTTTTCTTTCTTTAAATAAAAAACATTTTTTTCTTAATCAAACGCAATATGTTTGATTAGCAGCATTTTAAAAAGTGCTTTTTTTAGCCAAATCATTGAAATGTTACAAGAAATAGAAGCTTTCCTTGAAAGCATCTGTTTGGTATGATTTCTAACGATTATTTGCTAAAGTATATAATTTTTTATTTTATTTTTTCTCTACAGTCAATATTTGCTCCATTCCTTACTTTACAACTTGCATATATGGGACTGTCAAAGTATTTCCCGAAGGTAAGCATTTTATTAGAAAAAACAGATCCTTAACATTTCTAATGTGCAGTGACCAAGGATGAAGGATTCACTTTAGTGATGACTGATGTGATAGACTTAGACCTGGGAGATTCATGTTCTCCGTCAACCACAGAGTTCTTTGGGTGATCCTAGGCTAATTGTTTCCTTATTTGGAACAAATTGTGGGAGAAGAAGAAGAAGGTTCTATAACGTTTAAAATGAAATAAGATGCTTTAAGATGAAAATTCTGAAAACTTAAACTTTCTTTTTTTTTTTTTTTGCACAGAGTGAAAAGAAGACAAAAACTACAGTATTAACTGCTGCTCTTTTACTGTCTGGGATCCCTGCAGAAGTAATTAGCCGTTCCATGGACACTTACAGCAAAATGGGAGATGTCTTTACAGACCTTTGTGTTTATTTCTTTACTTTCATTTTCTGTCATGAACTGTTTGTGTTTTTTGGCTCAGAAGTGCCATGATAGCAGCTGAGGGATTCAATACATCAGCAGGACTATTTTATAGTCTTGAATTCTTTCACACCTCTCTGTAAATATACAAACAGGGTTAAATGTTGTTCTTCAGTTCTTTCTGAATTCAGTGTACTTTAATCATAGCTATGAAGGAAAAGCTGCATTCCCAACTAAGAGGGTGAATTATTACAGGTTAGGTATCATATGTGTAATCTCAAACATGGAAGACAGAGTAACAATGTTTCAAAAGTGGGCCTTTCCTGCTACTAAGGAAGACATTAGTTTTCCCACTATGGCAGATGCCACCTTGTATTTTAATATTTCTCTTTTGGACACAAAACCCCAAGACAACTGAGGTATTGTGTGGTTGACCGAATTACATTTTATGGCTTTGTTCCAGAATTCTTATCTTGAGAACTTATATTGAAGCTTCTGTTGAACAAAAGATGGGAAAGCTATTTTGGCCTATCCCTCCATTTCATGTGCCCTTCAAAACACTGGGATAAGTACCTTCTGCAACATCATATAAAGGGCACAGGCAGTTGAAAGGCATAGTAGGTAGTGCTTCTCTTTCTTCCTCCCATCAGAAGCCCATGCTTGAAACTTGATCTTTTCCACTATGGATCAATCCAGAATGATTTCTTAAGATCATTCCTCTGTGTTAATATTTGTCATTTCAATATACTAGTTCATACTTCGAGCAAGTGGCATATACTGATAAAAATGCTGATAAAATTCAGAGGCTTCTGGTTTTAGGAATGTGATTAGACTGGGTCAAATTGGTTTTTCGTCTCCTTCATTACAGGTGGTAATATTCTGTTGATAATATAGAAAGATGAATTTAAAAATAGCAGTGTAATTTAACTTGACATTTATGTACGTTCCCATTTGAATTGGAATCTTGCTACTCTTGTTTACATGAATTAGGAATATGCTGCATTAAATGGACACTGCAGATTGAAATACTGGTCTTTGGGTTATTAGCCCTTTGAACAATTGTCACTAGTTTCATTCATCTCTTTGACATTTCAGTTAATCTTAGATTTTTTTTCTTTGTACTACAAGTTAGGCCAAGCCTCAGTATCTTCCATATATTTTCTTTTCAAGAATATGTGCATGGGATTTTTAGTATCTCTACCTAAATACCAAGGTACACTGCAGCGCAAGAAGGTGCAAATTAGTATTTTACCCCAGTGTTAGTCAAGTGTTTAATATGCATAATATTTTAGAAAACAGGTATCAGAGAATATGGTCTGTTTATAGTAGAATGCTAATTTTAAAATATATAAATTGGTTCTTATAAACTCATCTGAAAACAATTACTTGAAGCATCTTCCACTAAACTTAGCAAATCCTGATGTTCCTTTTTGACCTTCTCTAGAGTCAAGCCTTAACTTAGTTTTAAAATTGGTACCCTTTTATATTTTGTTAAATACAAGCAATTTCCCACGTTTTCACATTTATCTAGCCAATCACAATGACTATAAATAATAAAATATGGCAGATTTTATTCGTTGATCTTAATTTGCATTAGATTTTATGACCATTACGGGCTGAAGGAGATGTGCCATGTATTTGCAATCCTTTCTTATGTTACAGTTCTTCCTTATCTTCATCTTGTCACTGTTATGTATATTTAGCCCATTCTCAGTATCTGTAAGTGGTTCTATCTTGCAAAGATTTGGAAATTAATCAAAGATACAAATTATACAGTGGAATATTTTCATTATTCTGATAAACGAGATGATTTTTTTTCTTGGATTTTAATTTTTGAAGTGTCTGCTGTCAAGTAGCTTGACTTAACTGGAAATGTTGTTTTGCCTTGCCTACAATTATTACAGATAATTTAACAGACTAAATTTAAACACAGGTTTTTAAATACTTGATAGAAAGTTAAATCGGTTCTTCCTTTATAATGGACTCATAAGTTTCCTTACATTGTAATTTCAGTAATTGCATTTACTGAACCAAATTTTACCACTGCTCCCTGGAAAAAGTGTTTTGAAAAATAAGTCATAGCTGAAATACACAAAGAAATGTGCATATTTTGGCAATGCAGTTTAATTTGGTTTAAAAAACAAATTTGTCTCTTTACAACATGAACTATAATACTACCTTGAGAAAAGTCTATTTTAAGTTTTTACTCTGCATATTTAATTTTTCTAAATTCCTATAATTCATATTTTTGATGATGGACTTCAAATATTGATAAAATAGCATAAATCTAAGATCTTTTTTGATATATTTTTACTTCAAAAAGCAAATGTAAGGTATAGAATTATCAATCCCATTTCTTGATATTTTGATAGTATCTTAGCTATTTTTGCCCAATGACTGCGATGGTGAATATAATCAATTACAAAAACCCATTTCTGACAGTGAAATCTTATCTAAGACCCATACAGGATAGACTGTTTTTAGATAGTGATTCTAGAAAAAAAACACCCACTCATTCCACAGAAAATAAAACAGATAAAAGTAGGAAAATTAATGACCAACACGTTAAGATGGACATCTGCATATTTTCCCCAAATGTTTGCTCCACAAAAACAAATATTTGATGTTTTAAAACCCACCACAACACTTAGATATTCATCCATCTATACTTTAAAAAAAAAAGGGGGGGGGGGGTAGAAAACATCATAAACAAGATTCAAGTTTAAAAAAAATTATTGGTCCTGCATTGAAAAATGTGCAAAATATCCTCTTTAAGTATGGGGCCTTTCTAAGGAAATTGCTAATATCACACTAAGCAGTTTTTTTTGGCATCCTTATGTTTAATATTTTTTACATATTTAAATGCAAATAGAAAATAATTGGGCAGAAAGCCTGGTGGTTTAAAAGTTTCTCCAAGCACAAAGAAGGAGCAGCTCTCCTGTGCTGTCTAAAAGTATGTATATGATGAAATAAGCTGCTTTGTGTGTTTCGTTTTCCATAATTTGGACTTTCTCTGTAAAAATCTTACATTGTTGTAATAGTTGCATTGATTCTGTTAAATGCATTGAAGCTATATATGTTGCAATTATTTATGTTTTGGCATTACTTGAATATACATTAAAATGTCTGCAAAGATCAGATTTTGTTAACTTTCCTTATTTCTGAATTAGTAATTTAGTACAGAACGTTCTGGTTCCAAGAGGATTAAGAAAATAAATCAGACCTTTGTAGCTGAATTTAACAGTGCCCTGCCTACTATCTGCTGGATAGAACGCTTCCTGGATCTATAAAACAAAATGTTTGGAAAATCTGGTTATTTCCACATTTTTTTCATTTTTATTTTTATTTATTTTGATTTGTCAATCGCTTACAAGGTAATAGGTTTTATATATATACATATATACATATACATATATATATACATATACATATATATATATATATATATACATACACATAGTTATGAATACATGAAATGGGTACATATAAGAAAAATAAAAGAAACAATAGGACAGGGACGGTAGGCACGTTGGTGCGCTTATGCAGGCCCCCTACAGACCTCTTAGGAAAGGGGTGAGGTCAATAGTACAGTCTAAGGTGAAAGTTTTTGGGGTTTGGGGAAGAAACTACAGAGTCAGGTAGAGTATTCCAGACATTGACCACTCTGTTGCTGAAGTCATATTTCCTGCAATCAAGTTTGTAATAAACTTGTTATATAAGAACAGCTTTACCCTTTATCCTCCATATGATCCATAAGAATTCATTCCTCAAATCCGCTACCTACTTTGACTTGGTGATCTCTTAATGTGAATACCGTGAAGATTCTTGAGAATATGACACAGATATTGTCTTGTGTCATGAGAATGCCAGAGATTTCCAGAACTGACTATAATGGAAGAGTGCCTTATAAAGATAGCCTTATAATTTCAGGTAAAACAGATGCAATTAGTTTTTTTAGAAAACTAGTTCCTTTGATTTTTTAATACCAAACTTTACCAGCTCTGATTTTTCCTGTCTACCTATTGAGAAAAATGGTAACATGGCTTGGTCTGTCTGGAGAGTTGCACACAATAATGTCCAGTAGGATTTGTGTGCTGAGTTCAAGTTTTTTGGATTATATTGGTAAAAATCCTTAGATCTTATGGTTTGGTTCTGTGCAAAAAGTTCTGATTTGTCTATCAGTGTTGATTTCAGCTAGGTTAGATGTAAAATCATATGAAGCCATGCATCAGGTCCATATTTTAGCACCACTGTGGGGCCAAAAACTGAATCTAATTACAAAACTTCATTGCAAGTAAAAGAACTATGATTTGTGTTTCATACGGATACATCCATAGTAACAACTGAAGGCAACCTGATCTCAAATCCATCACATATGAACCTAAACTGTGTTTGCAGTGGTTCACTGGGTTCAAACAAATGTGTTCTGTGAATTGGTCCAGATTAGGATCCCATCAAAAATTAAGAGGACATTTCTTTTGCATTGTTGCAGGGCCCCAAGTTGCCCAAAAGTAATTTGGTAATTCTTTATGCTCGAACACATGGTTCGTGATTTGACTGAAATTTTGTACAACCCTAATATATTTTTTATGGGACTAAGAAAAGTTGTTTCTGATCCACATTTTTAAAGCCACAATGGAATCAAAACTGGACAGAGAAGAAATATTGGGATGTATGCCACCCCAAGAGTTGTCATGAGAGATGGTGATTCCAGGCAAATCTCTCCAAAATATGAAATTGAGAGGATTCATGTTTCATGCCGATGATCAAATGTCTATGCATTTCCATTGTACAACAAATGTGACCAGTTGTCTATGGAGATTCTCAGTCATCCAGGTCATGGTTGTGCCAAAGGTGCTTTTTCAAGAGGCAACTGGACTTTCTGGCTTTTTATTTATTTATTTATTTATTTATTTATTTATTTATTTATTTATTTTTTTAGTCAAGCGTATATTTGATAATGTATATATAAGTATAAACATGATTATTAATACATGAAATAGATACAAATAAAAGGGAACATTAAGACAGGGACGGTAGGCATGTTGGTGCGCTTATGCATGCCCCTTACAGACCTCTTAGGAATGGGGTGAGGTCAACAGCAGTCTGAGGTTAAAGTTTTTGTGGTTAGTGGAAGAATCCACAGAATCAGGTAGAGTATTCCAGGCATTGACCACTCTGTTGCTGAAGACGTTTTTCCTGCAACTGAGTTTTATGCGGTTTACCCTGAGTTTGTATCTATTGTGTGCTCCTGTGTTGTTGAGGTTGAAGCTGAAGTAGTCATTGATGGGTAGGACATCGTAATGGATAATTTTTTGTACTACACTTAGGTCAGACCAAAGGTGGCATAGTTCTATGTTCTATCTAAGCCTAAAATTTCAAGTCTGAAATACCCTAGGCATAGGGTATTCTCTTGTGAGTAGAGGAGTGAAAAACTCTTTTTGTGAAATATTTCTGGACTCTCAATTGTATTAATGTCCAATATGCAGTGCCGATTCCAGACAGATGAGCTGTATTCAAGGATTGGTCTAGCAAATGTTTTGTATGCTCCAGTTAGTAGTACAATATTACCGGAGGAAAAGCTTCATATGATTAGGTTAACCACTCTTAATGTTTTTTTGGCATTGTTGTTACAGTGGGCTTCAGCACTTACATCATCAGAGATGAGGACTTCAAGGTCCTTGTCAGAGTTTGGATCATCAACAAGGGTCTTGACTATTCAGCCTGTATTTTATTTTCTGATTTTTCTTGCCAATATGTAAGACAGAGCATTTGTTTGTTGAGATTTGAAGTTGCCACTTGTTTGACCATTCTGACATAGTCAAGGTCTTTTTGAAGCGTAGCACGGTTGTCAGTGGTGTTGAATAGTTTTTACATCATCCGCGAAAAGAACGCAGTTGCTTTTAATATGATCACAAAGGTTACTTATGTAAAGTATGAGGAAAAAGGAAAGTATTTTTCTTTCCTTTTTCCTCAATGAATAACCAGAAAGTCCAGTTGCCTCTTGAAAAAAGCACCTTTGGGATGTGACCAGGTGGCAGCAGACTGCGAATAAATATTAAAGCACAGATATGCTCGGTTTTCTTCTGAAAAACACCACGGGCTACCGTCGTTTGTCTCCGAGTTAGTCACGGTACAACACCAAGCACTCTTAGGACAAAATTACCATCCGCTTAAAATTCCGGCGGTATACGCACCTGCTGCGGAGAGCGCCTGCTGGTCACTCCTCCGGGCAGAAGAGGCTGCTGTGGGCCGGTTGTAGGACACGATCCGGGCCTTCTTCTTCTTCTTCTTCTTCTTCTTCTTCCCCTTTCGGCGTCGGTGATGCATTTCCGCTTTGTTTGCTTCTCGGAAAATGGTTGCAGGCGCAGCTTGGCTTTGAGGAGCCGAGGCGGAAGAGAAAGCCGTCCCTCTTCGCTGCTTCGAGGGTCGCGGCCATGGGCCGGGAATCGAGGTAAAGGGCGCGAAGGGGCGGCGGACTTCAGGAGCTGACTTGGCTGTCGCGTTACTGGGCTTGGTCTTTCCGCCGCACCTGGGGCCGAAGGGAGGGGATCGCGGGGCGCGTAGGAAGGAGGCCGCGAAACCTCGACGTTGGGGTGGCCGCCGGATTGAAGAGTGGGCACCGCCAGTTTAAACTCTGGAGCTTCAAAATAGGAATAAGCCTTCACGAGGCGATTTGCAACATGGAGGATAAGGGCGGTCCGTGTTGCCTTTAGATTTAGGCCTCTGGCTTCTTTCTGGGTAGCCTCTGGTCTTTTTTTCTTTCTTTCTTTCTCGACGTTAAAGTCCAGTTAGGTCATCGGTCTAAATGCGACTTTTATTCGGACGAGTCTATGGGCACGTTTCCCCCGGCTTGCCTCGAACTGATCCTTAAAAGGCTACGAGTTGTGTAAAGTTGTGATTTGGGCTTCAAAATATTCTCTATCTTACATTTTCTTTCATTTGGTTTTATCAATGTATTCGTTTGACTATATAGGATAGGCGAGTTAGGATGACATGTAGACGGATTTATGGGTTACAGTATTAAGAGAACAACACATAAGAGCCAAGTTGAGGAAAATATTGTCAGATTGTTCCTGGTGAAAGATGTAAAGATGCATTATTATAAAAAAAAAAATCCATTATTGCAACATCTTGATTCACCAAGACTCCTCGAGCCCTTGTGCTAACATTATTCTGACATTACAATGCACTTTATGTACATTTGAATATGGGGGGGGGGGTCATTCATAACTGCTTGCCAGAATAATTGCATAAATAAATTTCAAAACAATTGGATCAAATATCTGAGAATACAACTGTCCTCTCCACCATTTATGTTGTCGTTCTAATAGTGAGATCTTTTTTGAACAGTTATTACAATGAGGGTTGTTTTGCAAATGTTGAGCTTGTCAAATGGGAAATGGCCATTAGTGAAAAGTCAGTTGCATAGCGCAATCTTGAAAAATATCCATGATTTTCACGATATTAGATTTGGTCTTGCAGTAGCTTGCACAGAAAATTTCATAGGGGAAGCTCAGTATTATACAAAATAAGCAGAGCCCAGCTGTGGCTGGCAGGTTTTGAAAGGTTTCATGCTGAAATCATCCAAAAGATACCACCTTGCTTACTTAATCTCTCTCATTTCCTTAGATCAACAAAGCAACAGTTGTCCAAACAAAAACAGTGAGTTAATCTACTTAATAGTTTTTCATCTCACAATTTTTAAGCACAAATGTACTATGTAAATGATTAATGATTGCATTAA